CCTTCGTCGGAATCGGTTCCTCGGAGACAACCCCTTCCTCGGAATCGGTGGAGTCTCAACAATTCACGATTGACGAGCTAAACTAATCCTGGAACTTTGTAATTCTCTCATACTCGTAGGATAGAAAACTTCTCAACCTGCCATACAGCGGAAGTCTTTCCTTATCAGATGCCTTTGTAAGATAGCACGTTTTGTTTTCTCCGGGACGAGCTATCGACCAGCGGAGATCGCTTTCCGATTATGTTAAAATGTAAATTATTAATAGAAGGCGCTGGACCTTTTTTAACGGAGGGGGTCTAACACGACAACTGAATTGAATTTACATGTAACTCATAAATAGTTTCCATTTGTTCTCGTAGTTTCAGATAGATAAGGACCAGAAAAAAAGGATTCTCCATGAGACGAAGCAAAGAGGAGAACATGTTTTCTCATCACTTGTTTGGTTGTGCATGAGTCATCCTTTTGATTTGCTCTCTTCTTCTCTTCTCTCTCACGATCCGATTTCTATTCCTTCCGAATGAATCTTCAGCATCCTAATTTCGTAAATCAATTTCTGAATTTAAAAAGTTACAGCTCTACTACACACTTGCTCACAATAGAATGGTTGATCGACTTGGTATGGCATTACTGTAATTTAAAAATAATCTCTGAAGTTAATTATTTTAGTTAACAGTGAAGTCAATGCCCGGCGAATGGCTAATGTGGAGCAATGTTTCGGTAAAATGGGAGAGCCGTTAGCACAGTTCGGGCGTGTGCTTGTTGGAGAAGGAGTTCTTGTGAAGATGTGCAGAAAGAAGCCGAAACAACGTCAGTTTTTTCTCTTCAACGATATTCTGGTTTATGGAAACATCGTGATATCGAAAAAGAGATACAATAAACAAAGGATTCTTCGTTTGGAAGGTGTACAAGTAGAAGATCTCGAAGACGATGGAGCCCAAAAATATGGATGGATTATCAAAACTCCAGCCAAGTCGTTTGCCGTTTATGCAGCAACAGAAACTGAAAAACGGGAATGGATGTTACATATTGAGAGATGCGTTTCCGATATTCTGGAAAGAGGTTAATTGGAAATAAAAAATTCTAAAATTTCGGAAATATTTCAGGGATTAAACAAGCGGCTACAGCTCATGCAGCGGTGTGGATTCCTGATGGAGAAGCAACAAAATGTATGGTATGTGGAAAGACACAATTCAACCTTGTTCAAAGACGACACCATTGTCGAAACTGCGGTCGCGTTGTATGTGGTTCATGCTCTTCTAAATCTTTCC